GGGGGATTTTTCGTGTTTTTTTCTTTACCCCTTTTTCAAGAAATGTTTCCCACTTTTCTGGAAAATCCCTCGTACGACACGGAGTGGGGCGCGGTGCGGCGACCCGAGAGCGCCTGCGAGGTAGGCACGCCGGGGCCGCGAGCGCGCGCCAGCGCCCGCATTGCCTACCCGCACGGCGCTAGTCGGGCCGCCGCGCTCGGGCCGCACCAGCCACATACTCGGCCGACAACTCACCGCATATGTACAAAGTTGAGCGCCACAACAACTTACTTCATGTTCGAAGACCGACAGAACTTGTCGGCCGACCATCGTGAGGTGAATAAGTTTGGGATTTTCGAGGCAACTTACGCTCTCGGCCAAGGGGGGAGAGACTCACTATTCCCTAAGGAACACTTCTCTGCCAACGAGGCAAGGGCTGAAAGCCACCACGAGACGCTTGGACCAGCAGGCGATATGTTTCCGCCCTAGCAAGTCGGTCATCGGGCATCACGATTCGAATACGGACAGGAAATATCCGCCGTGGAGTGGAAGAAAGGGGTAAGTGCACTTAGCATCATGACCATGAACTTTTAATGGACTTTCACTGCCGTCTGGTACATCGGAAGTTCCCAAACTGACGTTGGGAAGTAAGTTTTCAGTGCAAGTTAATTTTTCAGGATGGCTTCATAAACTTCCTACACAACAAACGGCAATCACAGGCGATTAAAAGCTCATGGTGCCAAGCCGACTTAACGTTATCCCCTTCTTCCGCTTCAAGGTAGAAATACCCAGAGAGGTCTCCCGACCTCTGCGTGGACTTTTTTGTGCTCTGCGTTGTTTCCCCTTACGATACAAGCTTTCCCGGGTTTGGACCTGACCAATAGTCTCCGGGCTGTAGAAATTGTGCGCTCTTCCCTCCCGACCATTTAACAATATTAAAATGGCAAAATAAAAAAAAATCATTGAAAAATTCGCACGTGTACTTACGCATGGTGACGCAGCTGAGCCAGGCGCGGCGGGGCTGGGCTGTGCTGGCCGAGGGCGGGTCACTGTTGAACACACGCCGTCGCGACACGACCGAATCTCGCCGTGCGCCTCTGGAGTGAGCTTTTATACGCGCGTGGCGGGGCCTGGCGGGGTGCGGCGGGGCGCGGCGAGCGCCAGCGCTCCACCCCCGCCTGGTGGTGGTCCTCGCAAGCTGCCACCCCTACCCTGCCCGGGCGCAAGCGGCGCAAGCGGGGCGCGCTGACGGGGGAAGTCCTCCTTATCGCACTTACAGCTCGTAAAAAACGCAGCAGCAAGTAGTTCGTCCGTCCGTCTCTCGGAATGGGGGCACTTTCTGGGAAGGAAAGCACCCCGCTGTGCGTCACGCAGGGCCGAGACTGCGGGCAGTGCGAGGGGGACGGGGTGGGGCTTGGGCATTGGGCAGCGGGACGGAACGGAATGGAAATCACTTGGTTTCACATGTACCTACTTTATTTGTTTATGGCATGATACGTTTGGTAACAGGTCAATGATCAAAAAAACTCAACTAGCTTTCACAGAGAAACACTTGACTCAAACGATTCCAATCCTTTTAATCCTTAAAACAAGTGTTGCCTTTGAAACATCGAAACAGAGTTTGCCTGTGGTGTGAAACAAAAATATAATATATAATTGATGATTTAGCCACAAACAAGTTATTAAAAAAACGACAGGAAGCTACTCTGAAAAAATCTACAGCAATGTAATGTTTTAAAATTACATAGTATATATGAGAATACTGGAAGAATTTATTACCCCATGTTATTACTGCACTTTATGATTCATATCATATCCACATACACCTGGTTGAATATAATTTGTACTTTCGTTACAGGAACAGGGCAGGGAAGTTCAAATTATCCATTATTTCTCCATTGTCGTCCTCTTAGGATTTATTTGATTATGTTTTGCTTTGATTTTTCAAATATAACGAAATTTTATCTTGGTAGTAGCCATGGATTCAAAGTTAAATTTATGTATTATGTTACATTTTACAGATCCATTTTCTTCTAATGTGCACCAAATCAACTTTTCTCACCTTAAATTCTGAATGTCATTTGTGTCAATACACAGACACTCCATAAAAAATTCAAACATTTACTCCCACAGTTTGATCCAATGTTGATGTTTATACTAAATAATTAAAATATGAACACGAAAATGTACAAGTCTGATATGAGCTAAAAAAACTGATAGTTGAAAACAAGTCCTCATCAATGCACAATTGTTACCTCAAAATATCAATAATAAATTCCTTTTAAAAAGTAACAACACTCAAATGTTCTACAATTAAATTACGCGGCGACGACGGTAAAACAAATGTTTCAGACATAAATTGTAATTTAGGATGACAATAAGGATACCAAAAAATACATCATGACTTAAGTACAAACCTCAGCTCATGCTAACTAATTTCCTTGGTCCCGAACTAAAACCGTTGGTCCAACAGCAAACTAAACTGTCAAAAGAAGCAAATAATAACAAATAGTCACAAGAACGGATGGAAACTGGCTGAAGACGGATCGGAAACCGTTAAAAAGGAATTAACTCATAGTAATGCAAACCGTCAAAATGTTTAAATATGGATACAGTATTTATGAGTAAGAGACAAACCACACTCATCTACGAAATATTTTACAAAACTATAGTCTTAAAATGTACATATTTGAACAGTAGCTCATTGCCTTAATCTCTTATAAGAGATTTGGGGCAAAAAGAGGGATATGGAGATTTAGATTCGGTCAAATAAGTTTCAAAATATCTAAAAAATATCATGCATCAAATTTGTTTTGCTGAAAAGATTAAAAATATCTTTGCTACATTTAAAGTAATCAAATTTATAAGAAAATGTTTGAAATGTAAAAGTGCGAGCAGGTCTCATTTAATACTTCGCTTGTCAGAACAGAATGCTGGTCAAAAGCCCTTTTACACACCTTACACAGTAATGTATTTTTTTTACTATCACTGTAGTTTTATCAATATAGATTAACTGTCTTTCGGATATCAATACTCACTCAATTGAAAGCCCAAGTTTTTTCAATAAAATGCTAAAAAAATCGTTCTCTTGATGATGCATCAGAAAATATAACAATTAGCACTCTTAAATTCCCTATTTTAAATTCTTCTTTCAAATACCACATTGGGAGCAGAAGTGCATTCTGGAATTTATCACATTACTTTCATAATCAATCGTTTATGACACATAAAATATAACTCAATCTATAATTTCAAGATTTGTTCAGATCTGGAGAGTTAAAAATATTTGGAAAAGATTCTGAGCCAGCTGGTTCAAGCAAAATCCTAGTAAATGTCAATAAACATATCAGGAATGCAAGAGACGAAATGTCAAATACTAAGAAGAAAGTTTATAATGTATAAAAAACAACCTTCTCTATTACTTTTTACATAGTCTACGCTTATACTAGTGCAGAGAATATTGCCATTTCCCTATATCCTTAATGTAAACCTTGTTACATAAGTGTGAGATCGTATACGTACTTCGCGCGGCACATCAAAACAGAGAGTAATCAGTTCTCTCCTAGCATTCATGGGCAAGAAATTGATAAGATTCATACTCAACGCAGAACTCCAATATGAAAGGAGCTCGTCGCTGAAAAAATTGACTGGTTAAATTAGGGGCTTAAATTAGCACACATACCTGCCGAACATCTTTGGGAATACCTCATCACGTTGAGAAAAGCAACAACTCACTTTCTCCACATCTCGCCAGCGAGATCCATAATAAAACAACAGTCTCACTATGGGGGGACTGGGAATTCCCTCCTCCTAAACAATAAGACGAGATTCAAGCCGTGCTAGTGCAGCACATTCAGTTTCAGGTCACAACTGTGAAACATCGTTAAAATATACATAAGCGCCCAGCGCGTTATTTCTGTGACGTGTGTCTTACGAGTAACAGGAAAGCCGTTCCCGGTAAATGGGCAGCCAGGCCGCCGGGCTACACGTGGGTGTCGCGCTGCAGGTGCATCGTGTCCATCTGGCGCATGATGTAGGCCGCCGTGGTGACCCGCTCGTGGCCCATCTGATCGCGCAGGGACTGGTTCTCGCGGAGCAGCTCCTCGATGCGCTGGCTCAGCATCTGATTCTCGCGCTGCAGCCAGTGGCGTTGCTGCGGGGACCAACGAGGAACACGTTCAGAGCGGGCCGGGTGGCCGGGGCGGCCCCGGGGCGGGGCGGCCGCAGTAAGCTTACATGTCGTTTACCTCCTCGGACGCCTGCAGCTTGTGCTGGAGGGTCTCTACCGTGCTCAGCCCGGCGGGCTCTAGGGGGGCGGGCAGTGCGCCGAGGCTGGCCGCCATCCCCAGGGTCCCCCCGAGGACGGGGCCGCCCGACTGGTGCAGCAGGAGGGACGTCGGTGGGGAGTGGATGGTGGCTGAGTGCAGCAGTGACGTGGAGGGGGGGTGCACCAGGTGCGACACGGCCACCTCCCTCTCCCGGTGGTGGGCGAGGCCCTGGGCGGGGCCGCCGGACCCGTACCCGTGCGAGTGGAGCCGCGAGCAGCACAGCGGCACCGACGTCTCCGGGCAGCTGTTCTGCGCGCGGAGGCTCCGGCCCAGGGCGTGTGCGGCGTGCGAGTTGGGCACGAGCAGCGAGTCGCTGCGAACACACAAACACAGTGCATTGGGAGCCCCGTGGGTGCATCAGGGGAGCCCTCCCCCGCCCCGCCGACCCGTGCAGTCCGAGGCGCAGGTTTACGTACCTGATCTTTCTCCGCGGGCCCGGGCCCCACATGGCCATGGGCTGGGGGCTGGAGGGCAGCGAGCCGCCGAGCGTCCCCAGCTGCCCCCCGAGCAGCGGCTGGCCGGGGCAGTCCAGCGCCTCGATCTGCTCCTCGCGGTCCCCGGCCAGCGAGCCCGGCCCGAGCCCCGGCAGCGAGCTCAGCCCGGAGCTCTGCGACCCCTGCGAGCTCTGCGAGCCCACCGAGGCCACCGAGTACTTGGGGCTGGGCGGCGACGACTCGGACTCGGACACGGACGACTTCTTCTTGCGGCGGAAGCGGCGGCGCGACGTGATGGCGTGGCTCGACGAGTGGTGCGAGGACGCGCCGTCGTGGCCGTGCAGGCCGCCGTGCTGGCCGTGCTGCTTGGGCCGGCACTCCATCACCACCAGGTCCTTGCAGTGCTTGTGCGCGTTGATGCCGCAGTCGCGGCACTTGAAGCCCTGGCGGATCAGCCCCCACAGCTAGGCAGAGCAGAGCAGAGAGCGGGCGTCAAACGTGTGGGACAGGGAGCGAGGGGGAGGGAAATAGTAGCCGCCTACTGGCGGTTCCTGGGTTTACTATGAGTGGATTTATTTAAGAAAGACAGCTCGTGCCTACGACCTCGTCCGATTTGGCTGATATTTGGTGGACATGTTCCTCAATTGAATTGAATAAAAGGCCAGGAAGAGTTTGGCTGAGAAAAATTTACTTCCGGAACTGTGGGCAAATTAGTGGTTATGCAGGCATTTTGGGTATTTTGCACTATGACTAGAGTTTTGGTCCTAGACTGTCATCTCAGGTGTCTCCGGATGCAGAATGGACCAAGGAACAAGAATATGCCATCGGAATGTCTCTACGACCCATAGTTTTTGAGATATTGTCAAAAATAGCGAAATTTCA